TGCCAATTTCCTCCCCAACATGACTAGTGATTTTTGTAAAATTGATTATTCTTTTGTGCAACTTCCACTCATTATCTAAAAAGTGAGCAGTGACCACCATGTAATTTATGTTCTGAATTGACGTCCAAGTATCGGTTGTGATACTTACCCTTTGACCACTAATCACACTTTTTATCTTTGCTTTCTCAACTAAGAACAAATCATAAACCATGTTCGCAACCTTTTTACGGTCAGGAATTTTGAACCTAGGTTGTAATTCATGCAGAAAACTAATAAATCCCTTTCTTTCCACCGCCCGAAAAGACATTTCATGAATAACTACAAACTTGGTAAGTTTCAATTCACACCTTTTTTGATTAAAAGTGTGAGGAGTCAATGTAGTTAGCTGTCCCATCATCTCATTCGTGAGCACAGATTGACTTTTGTCACTCCCTCCATCATATAGAGGACTTAATTTGCATATCTTGACTAAGTGATTCTTTAAACCTCTAGTACTTCCCTCTACGGTTGGAATCTCAGCTTGACAGTGATTGCATATTGTCAGAAAACTTCACACATTCCAATACTTTGAGTGCTCCCATCTACCAACTTCCTCGAACCTTTGGCACAATGGTTCCAATAAATAATCCTCGTTTTAGGTGCTACAGGAGGCTTTTCTGTTAAACACTCACTTGTTCGCTTCCGGCTAGAAGTACCATTCTTTGTTTCAGATTCAAGTGTGGCCGGTGATTCAGCTGGACTGGGCAGCGAGTGAGATGATTCAGATTCCATTAGCAATCCTGAAAATGTAACAAATATCATGTTAATCAATTCTGAAAAATACATTTAATATAGTTGAAAATATAAGAACCATAACAACTGCACAAGCTGTACAGAAATGCCAACAGAAAACTTTGAACAAATCAAACAAGCTGTACAGAAATGCCATGAACTGGGCGTTAACCAAGTTCTGGTAACACTTGGGGACAAAATATCAACTCTTTTTTGTAAGGGAGAGGAAGAACCAATTATACAGCCCATAGTTAAAGCTGAGAAAGTCATTGATACAACTGGGGCAAGGGACACTTTTACTGCTTCTTTTTCAGTGGCACTTGTGGAAGGAAAATCCAAAAAGGAATGCCTGGCTTTTGCAGCAGCATCTCTATGTGTTCAAGTCAAGGGGCCATTCCAAGCATGCCTGGAAGGAAAAATGTTTTGAATCTTCTGCACTCTCTTTTACAAAAGGCTATCTTGAAATGATGAAACATTACTTTTGATCATTAAATTAATTTGAAAGTTACCATCCCACCTGCTTTCCACTAATTAATAATGTCCACAACTCTTGACATTCTTCTTGAAAGTAATGTTACCTGACATTGATAGTGAAGGACATACACGAACAACAAATTGGAATAGTATTTTTTATAGGGAAGTTTTGTATTTATTCTGCAAGTTTATGTGTATTATTTTTAAAAATGTGTAGTAAGATATTCTCTATTAGTCAACCACTCAGACTTGCAGGACCCCTACGACTTACCAAACTTTTATAAAGATTTTTGCAGCAAAAAAAAAACTAGACTGGATTAAGAGCTTTGTCAATGTTCACATGGTCATTTATGAGTAATTTTTAAAAGTCATAATCACTGGTCATGTGCATACGGTCTTTTTTTATATCAACTGTAATATCCAAGGTGATGTTGTAGGTGATGTTGTTTTGGAGTGTATCAGCTTCTATGATGACATGGAACGGGAACAAATGAATGAAAGATTTCATGGGTTATGTTCAATACATCTTTTATTAGGTCTAACATTGTGATGCTTACCAAATACCAGCTCGAAGTCTTCTGCGGTTCTGCCGTTCTTCACTCGTCCGCAGTTGTAGCTCGACGGTTTCTCCTTCCACAGCTTCGTCGTTCAGAGCTTAGTCCGCAGCACCCTCACCAGTCACCACAGTTGTAGCTTTGCCGTTGTTCTTCACGTTGAAAAGTCATTGTCTCGATCATTGGTCTTTCTTAGGCATTATCCTATTTCTTAGAAAACTAAAAAAAAACACCAATGTGTCTAGATCGTTTGCTGAGGGTGAATATCGTTCTATGGCAGCAACTACCTGTGAGCTTAAGTGGCTGGAAGCTTTGCTCCTCAGTCTTGGTATTCATCATCCTCAAGCTATTCCTCTTTACCATGACAGTCAATTTGTGCTTCATATCACCCGCAATCCTGTTTTCAAGAGTGCATCAAACACAATGGAGTTGACTATCATTTTGTTCGTAATGCTATCACCAACGGTCTTATTTTTCTGAGTTATGTTCCCCGCATTACTTAGTTGACAAATATCTTTACTAAAGCTTTGAGAACTGCTCAATTTCAAGCTTTATGTGGAAAATTTGGCATTTTGAATCCTCATGCTCCCACTTCGGGGGGGGGGGGGGGGGGGGGGGGGCAGTGGAGGACCTAGGGAGGGGCCTAGGGGAGCAAGTGCCCCCGCTTTCGATCAGGAATTTCACTACTAGTACTTAAAGTAAAATCAATCCCCCCGCTTGCGGTCAAGAATTTCACTACTACTAGTTCGGGTAAAATTAGTGCCCCCAATCCGTACAAAAAATTATCAATATTAGATAATTAAGATACTAAAATGTTACGGTTATATAAATTAGAAGTTAATACACGATATTAAAATTTGAGCTGAATTAAAATAAAAGATCTCAAAAAAGGAGAAGAAAATAGTTAAGGTTTTTTTCTTTTGATAGAAAATAGTCAAGGGTTGAAAACCCAAAAAGTTATAATGTAAACAGTAACCAAATTAATGTGCAGCCATCTTAAAGTAATCTAAAACAAGTAAAAGTTTAAAAATGAAATCCACTAATAACTCACTATTACTCTACAAGGCAAAAGGGGGAAAACTTCCAAAATATAAACCCTCACGAACGTTTACACTCAGGCATCTTTCTGGGGCTTGCCGTTGCCTTGCAAAACTACCTCTGCAGCGCCGCACCACCCAATCACCCGTTCATTTGTATTTTGTAAGTTTCTTTAGATGATTATCTTACATATTGCTTGATGTGCTACATCGAGAGAGATGTTTTTAAAAGTATTGATAATGAAACTATTATGCAACATTTTCAGAATATGAAAACTCGTAGTATTGATTACCAAAGTTGCAGAAATGAACTATATAATATGTAATTAACTACTCCGTATAATTTATGCTCACTATAAAAAAATTACGGGATTGACACGGAATTTGACACGTACTTACCGATTTTTCGTGCCAAATAGCTCGTGCCAAAATTTTTTTGGCACGGATTTGGCATTTCCCTGCCAAAATCCCTGCCAAATCCCTGCCAAAATCCCTGCCAATCCCGTGGTTTTTTTGTAGTGGCTATTGCCTTACTTTTTACCATCTTTATTACATTTGAAAATTTTATTATAAAGTAAGTTTAGTATATAGTGTGCCCCTGCTCTGACAAATCTCTGGGTCCGCCACGGGGGGGGGGGGGTGTTTGGATATATTTTTACTTTGTTTACATTACATTACATACATTGTATATCTTTCCTTTTTGGCAGTTTTCTTAGATTTGGATTCTGAATTATTTTATTTCTCAATTCTCTGGTATTTAATTAAAGCACACAGATGTTGAATAAACACAACCTTTTACACGGCAAAACGTTGTCAATTAGTGACATAAAAATTTAGCAGCGAACTAATAAACTGAGAGTGACATAATAATTTGACAACGACGTCATGTTTTCTAAATTTATTTGGGAAAGTTGTTGAAATACAAGTAAAAATGTTTTAGAATTTCAAAATAGATTTGTCCTGTTTTTATTCCCAAATAAGAGTAACTATTGTCATGTTTGAAAACTAATATTGATATTTTAAAGCCTGATAATGCCAAATATGACAATAACTACTCATATTAAAAAATAAAAATACGACAATACTATTTTGGAATTCACGAACATTTGTATTCCTATTTTGGGTAATTTCTTAATTTATCACCTTGTTTGTCATGTTTTTATTCTATGTGTAAACGTAGTCACTTTCTTGAAAACAAAATTAAATTTAGTCATATTTTAAGAAAAACACCAATTATTAATGATTGGCACCGCACAATGTTTAAGAATCATGGCTCTTCATCTCACTAATTGCCACATATACTTCTGTTAGAGGTTTTTTCATAAAATATTATTCACACAAAATTTGTGAATAAAAATTTAATTAAACTTATTATGAATATATTTTTATCGTCACTATGATGTTTGCGTTGAACACATTTATTATCATTAAAATTTAATCAACTACATTTTTGTCCATCATTCTTATTTTGGTCATATATTAGAAATTATTTCTATTATTTCAGCACACACACACACACACACACACACACACACACACACACATATATATATATATATATATATATATATATATATATATATATATATATATATATATATAGGGAGCGGTTCCGGTAAGAACGGACTCCCAGGAGAGAAATGAGAATGAATCTGGACCGTTGGACTGTATTACATGGAATTGAATTGTGCATTTGGTGAAACTAAAATGTGCATTAGATGATATTGAAATGTGCAGAATAAAAATTTAAACTCAAGTGTGCAGTAGGTGAAACTGAAATGTGCGGAATAAAAGGTACAAAAATATCATCACATCGTATCTTTTATTCTGCACATTTCAGTTTCAACTAATGCACATTTCAATATCACTTGATGCACAATTCAGTTTCACATAATGTCACTGTATCATACCCTTTGTGCTGCACAATTCAATTGCATATATTGCACATTACAGTTTCATCTAATGCACACTGAATTTCACTTAAAGCAAATCTAACGGTCCAGATTCATTCTCATTTTCTCTCCTAAGATCATGTTCTTATTTGAACCAAAACACACACACACACACACACACACATATATATATATATATATATATATATATATATATATATATATATATATATATATATATATATATATATACCTCGATAACTTAATGATCGTAGTAACAATATTTATCAATATTGAAGTGTCATTTATTACTGTAAGTCTGTAATAAACGCTTGAAATGTCATACAACATACTTTAATTAAGTTGAAAACATACTTTAACTTATCAATATTTTGTTACATCTTCACTTTGGCATATTGAAGTGTATTCTTGAAATGTTTCAGTGTACTTTGCAAGAGTGCACATCATCTTTACCACATAATAGTTCTCCATTGAGCTTATCCACGGCTCCAAATGCTCCTCCTCCGGATCCTTTACTCATCTGCATTAATTTTATTTGCGTGTTAATTGACTGAGACATCTTATAGCAAGTTTTATCTTATACTTATCTTATATAAATTGATATTTTTCTCTCTAGGAATATTTTCTCATGGATTGAATTTAATTTTTCTGATTCGATTTGTGTAAGACTTGTTTAGTTTGAAATGATCTGATATTGTCTCTGTCGTACTATTTTCTAAGTCTAGCTAGTCTATGATTTGTTTAAATGTAATGTATGTTTTATTTAAGTTTGGGAGTGTCTTAAACTAAAACTGGTTCAAGTGAAACTATCTTTAATTTAATACTCTATGTCTCTATGGACACATTCAAATTTAGATTTATTGTTTAACTTCGAAAGCTTATTGGGACTATCACATGCATATAGTGTATTTAGATTTATTTATGAGATAGTAGTTATATGAACTGAAATACACAATTTATTCAAAAAAGAAAATCTTAATCATATTGTAAGATGAGGAAAACTTGTAAATGAAACCTAGACCATACTCTTCCCTCCATTTATTATGTATTTTCCTTTTACTTTATGAAAGTTTTAATTACTTCTCCTACTCTTTTGAAAATTTGATCTGATATCATTTCATAAAGATCCTTATTCTCTCCTTTTTTTGTTTTTCATCCAAATCACCTACTTATTCAATGCCAGATCAAATATCTCTATAACTTTTACTCTTATGAATTGTGTAAAAGCCTATATTGAAGCAACTAAATACAAAACTGCAAAAGAGTGGTTTATTATTTATAGTGAAAAAAATTATTTCAAATATATAGAACTAAAACATCGATAAAGTGCACGAGTAGAATTGTCGCTATATTATTCTCAAAATAGGAACTCGATCAATTGATCTTATTAAAAGTATAAAACTTCTCCAATATGTTAGGAGTGAATGAGCCATATGTTGGAAAAAATAAAATAATGATGATCCTATTTGTGCACTCGTTGTTTTTGTCTTAGTTAAAGAATTGTAAATTAGGTGGTTGTAAAATATGTGAAAAATTGACCTTGTAAAAATCAACTGCCAAAAAATTAGCATAACGTTGACCCGCAGCAAGAGCGCATGCTTCAAGCATAGTGAGTAGCGGTTCTGAGTTATCTACACAAGCCATCATCAAATGTGGTTTGAGAGCTTGTATGGTCCTAAAGTGGTTTACCAAAACTAGTGCTTTAGTTTTGTCATTTAGAGCGGATGAATTGACCCGGTTCGTGCATTCTCCCTCAAGTCCCTCATCTCCATCTGCAAAATGCAAATTAATTAGGTGACAACTCCGGTACCCTTCTAAAAAATGGGATACTGTACCTATCATTCATTTGATTGGACCACACCACTTTATCATTTTTAATTTAGATTTAAATAATTCAACTGTTACATTCTCATTGGTCCATGTGGACAAAGGTATGGTACCTTATGGGTACCATAGAATCTACCAATTAATTATACGTATGTACTATGTAAAGAGAATATTACCCGAAATAGGACTAAAACGGTTTGAAAATTCCAAAATAGGACTGCCATGTTTTTATTTTCAAAATAGGACTAATTACTGTCATGTTTTGGCAGTACCAGACTTCAAACATGACAGTATTTTCTAAACATGGCAGTACTTAGTCCTATTTTGGGAATAAAAAACATGACAGTCCTATTTTGGAATTTTGAAACTGTTTTAGTCCTATTTCGGGAACTTTCCCGTATGTAAAAACGAAGTATTATCGCTCAATCTGCTATGTTTTTATACGAAATAATTCGATGACATCGCTATGATAATCTCAAGGGTGGAGGTCACAGGATCGAAGAATCACAGTCAAGGATGTTTCCATTTAAAGTGGAGTATTAATAAAATGATTTAATTTGAATGCGTATCATCCTTTCAAATTTGTGTCCCAAACAAGGCCGATTTTGTTCCCTCCCCTTCCTTTCTTTCCCACTGCTAATCTTGGAATTCACTCTATCTTTCCCCAAACTTCCAAACATATCCTAAATCCAACGAATTATCTAGGTAAACTCATAATATTAAATGTTCTTACATTTGTTTTCAACCATGTAGTTCCACTGGTATGCAATCCCTTCAGTTTGCTCCTTGGATTCGACAGAAGTGAAGACGACAAGCCTATGATTATGAGTAACCATGTCACTAACACGAGGCCAATCTTCACCGTTTTTGGGCATATTTTTTACGGGAAACATGTATTTCATCAGACCTGCCTTTGTAAAAACCCCTTTCAATCCATTAGGGGTTTGAACGTGATCCTCCAAAATTATTGTAACAATTTCTGAAGGATTTGCTGATAAGAAAACTTCAATTTCCACCAATGTGTCTATTGCTGGTCTCTGAATTATATTTTCACCAAACGTGTACGTAATTAATCACTTAATTCATTGTTACTAATAGTCATTAAATTATAGTTTCATATATTAGGGCAGGGAAATCGAGTACGTGGACATACAAAAGCAGCAAAGTCATGGCATTCTCCGTTCCTAGAATGGCATAACCAAATGTCTTTTTCAAAGTCGTACACGTCAAGCATTAATCCGCGAACTCCATTCTGAAATTAAGCTCAACATCAAATTCATCAATACGAAAATTAAAGTCACAACATCCCAAAAAGCTTGTTTGGTTTGTGTAGGATTCAAGAAACCGGATCGGGCGATCCGGTCACATAACCAGATCACGGGTTACTCCGGTCAACACCATAAAACCAGTCAACCATATAATATAAGAGATAACTGTATGCAAAATTAAAATAGAAGGTAGTTATTCTATAATAATTCTTATTAAACATATAAAAGTTAATTTAAAGTAGTTTCGTAAAATTCCAAAATACCATTTTGATCTTATTAATGATATTCCTTATTTGTTATTCATTTATTTATAATTTTACAAGATTTTTTATTCTTAAACAAATAAGTAGTATATAAAAGTATTGCATGTTTTTCTTTTTGGGTATTGAAATTGGAATTTTATTAGTTAAAAATGATTTAATTTTTTTTTTTGGAAAAAAACAACCAAAATCGGGTTTTTACGGGTTTGTCGGATGTATAAGGCCGTTATTTACTTTGAAGCTCCAACATATTTATCAAAAAGTTTCGCTCAGATTTGGGTAAACCTTTCTGTGTTTAATTAATTAGGGACCGAGGGGACTTTATGCTATTATGAGTGTAGTGAAGTGGGGGAGAGTACTGTGACCTTAAGGTTTGTATGAACTTGATATATATTGTTCATTTTATAGCATCAATTCGCGTTGCTTCTATGAATATGACCGTCTCACTGTCTGATTTTAGGGCTTTTAGTGAGTCAAGAAATTTTTAGAAGATATATGATGGAGTTTTAAAATGTTGGCCAATGGTAACAGCGAACAATCATTTGCATTATGTTTTTTTTCAAATATCTTAGATAACAGAATATTCTTCCGTTAGCTAGTAATTAAGCATCACCTAAATATTTCTGCATTCATTTACTTTTTTAATATTTTAAGAATATGAAGAGGAATAACAAAACAACACTTCAGAAAACAAGAATAATTTTAGTTGGACGGTTTGTGAAATGCACATAGACACACACCTCTCAGACCACACCCGATTAATTCAGATTATTCCAAACCAAATCAAAATCATAAAACTCAATCTACTTAAAGACATCATAAATATAAAGTTGAACTACTCTCGAGAAACCCTACACTATGACTATGATAGCGTTGAACTTAGGGCACGTTAATTTTTAGGGTAAACTATTGCATATGTCCATTTTATATACTTTTCAGTCCAGTAGTCAAAATGAAATAGGGAGAACCATATATATACACTAATTAAGCATACTAATTTAGGAAATAATGGAACTTGAACTGAAAATGAAAAGCATACAATGAGCTGCTGAGCGACACTGTCTTCTTGATTTCTAGGAGCCACATTGAGAAGACCTTGATGAAATAGCGTGCCGGTAATTGCGAATGCGTGCGTTATGGGTAGTCAAGAACGCATATTTGTTAAATGGTAGAGAGTTGTTCTGCCAATAACAAACAAATAAAAATAAAGAATTTAGTTTGAATGAATTAGTTAGCATGTACTTCATACTTGGATCGACAATATATGACATTTATAGTCATACTTTCAACTTAAGAGTCTTATAGTTCATGTTTTAATAATCAAATTGGCCAGAACAAGTCAGCTACAAAATTTTCCAGCAATCACAGTGACATCCTTAGAGAAATATATTACCCTATTTGATGGATAGTGTACCCGGGGGTAGCTTATCCGAGGGGTTATTACGGGGAATAACAAGAGAGAAGTCGGAGCAAGTAAATATAGAGAGAGAAAGTATATTGGAGAGTGTTCAGCGTTTTCAGCGTGGTTACAAATGGGGAAATGGGGTGCTATTTATAGTAGCAATAAATGCCGGACAGGGACACGTGTCAAGCGTCCATTGGCCGAGAGGTCACCTCATATGGTTGGCGCTGGCAACCGCATGTGGCCGCATTTAATGCGGCTGTTGGATGAGACGTTGTACAGGGTACGGTGATCTGTACGCATGTGGTGCGGATATCATGTCGGGAAAGGTGCCCTCGGTTGTAGAGGACTAGCCGAGGGCTCTGAGTACCGGGGACCCCCTTAGTGCCGAGGGCTCCCACTGCCGAGGGCTACTGATTTTCGCCGTTTTTCCCAGTAACTTTGTTTTCCTGTCTTGGCCCTCTTGTGAGAGTTAGAGCCTTCGGCCAGGGGGCCGAAGGCACCCCTGGTGCGCATTGTGGGCTGCTTGGTACTCTGGACGCTTTGATTTGGGCCTGTTGTGCTCTCTGGGCCTGTTGGGCTTTTATTGGAGTAGTAGGAGTCTGTGGGCCGGGGGTTCCCGGACCATATACTCCATCACTATTAATCACATTGTTATTATGAAATTATTTTTTGTCACGTTTAAAAAGAAAAAATGGATTTAAAAAGAGGCGGTGGAAGCGCGCGTTCGATAAAGAGATCAATTTGGCTGTATATTAGTTGAGTAACATTATTATACTCCATCCGTCCCGAAATTATCTTCATTCTTTCCTTTTCGTTCCGTCCCAAATTTATCTCCTCTTTCCTTTTTTGATAAAGAATATGTGGTTCACAATCATTCTTACACATTTCTCTCTCCTCTGCACAACTCTCCACCACACAAATCTCACTATCTTAATCCCCGTGCCCAGTCAAAACCGAAGTTAATTATGGGACGGAGGGAGTAGAACAAACTGTATCAAGTCCACTCCGATCCCAGTGCTTGTAAGATATAACATGAATATATTACTTGTACTCAACTTTGTAATAAGCAAATACACACACATATATAGAGTAGAGCTTTTGGAGACCTTCCCGGCGGAGTTTTTTGATGAAATATTTATGGCATGTTCTTCATCAAGTCTAGTTTATCCACAAAAAAATCAGCAAAAAATTCTATCGGGAAGGCCTTTCAAATGATTTTTGAAAGATAACTGCTCCAGAATATACATATAAAACGCAGTTAACTTCCAAAAATCATTTGACGATCTTCCCAAATTCATTTTTAGCTGAGTTGTTTTGTGAATAAACTAGACTTGATGAAAAACATGACATAAAAGTTTCATCAAAAAATTTCACCGGGAAGGCGGCCAAACGCCGCCGTCCGGACGGCAGTTCTGCTCCGTAATACCTGACCTGAATATTTCTCTCTCTATATATCTACTCCTATCACGAATTTAATTAGTTTGACTTACAAGTAGGGTGAACGGATTTGTAGCGGCAGATCTAACACATTCGGGTATTAATTCACCCCCCCGAATGCATGAAAAACAATGAGTCCCTTTGCCACAGTCTGCATTTAATGGGCAGTGCTAAAAATGTCGAAAACGTCAGTCAAACCCAAATTATTAACAAAAAAAACAATCAATTTGCTAACCAAATATTATTATCCAAATAAATTAATGAAAGCATATATTAAAAAAATACCTTGCAGTTTGCCATGTTGACTGATAATACACAACATATAAGTAGTAAATCAATAAGTTTATAGTAAAGCACCATCATGAAATGCAAATTAGCAATGAGTGTTGGTCAATTAATTGAAGCAAGAGAATGGTTGCAGAGTGTTTAAGAGTTTGAGTGTGTATATATAGGTGTGTGTTCAAAATATTTGTGTTGAAACTATATTAAAGTATTTCCAAATTTACTACCCCAAATATAGAATTTCACGACTTCACCCCTCAGCATAGCCTATAAGGCTATAACACTTTACTTTCTTAGCAAATAAAAAAAAATCAAAGTCAAGCATTCAAATTTCAAAGTCTTGTTCTCTTTTTCTTGTTTTTCTTCATCTCTTCTTTTTCGATTTTCCTCTCTTCTACCCTCTTTGTTTACTTTTTCATTCTTTATCATAATTTTGTTTAGTCTTTCCTAATTTCTTACTAGTATTTAACTATTTATAATAACATACGTAGTAGTACATATTACTACGTATTAGGTATGGCAACAGACGAGTTTGAAGTGTTCACTCCTCGATCCCATGTGTCCAAAGTTCCCCATTCCCGCCCTGTCGCCCTATACACCTTAATTACCCCGTGCGGCACCCGGCCCCAATGTCCCGTGGGTACCCGTATATATTTTACTTATCTTACTTACATATTTTTCAATCCACTTTATGCACCTACACACAGCATATATATTTTAATTAGTACCAAATCAGTTAAACTAAATAATATTGTGTACGATAAAAACTAATACTAGCACCATTAATAACTATTTAATTTAAATTGGGGTTTTTCTTTAAATATTACTAATAAAAAAGTCATGGGCAAAAATATTACTCCCTCCGTCCCATAAAATAAGTCTCATTTTCCTTTTTGGGTCGTCCCAAAAAATTGTTCTCATTTCCCTTTTTGGAAAGTTTTGTATGGCTAACATTCATTTACCTTTTTCTTACTCAACCACAACCATACATTTCCACTTTATTGCCACTTTCTTAAACTCCGATCCAAATTGAAATGAGACTTATTTTATGGGACGGAGGGAGTACTTATTAACTATTAGTGGCTATAATTGTGTTCAAAGTTTACATCGTAGTAACTTACATGTAATTACTACGATGTAAATTAGAACACAATTATAGTCATTAATATTTATTGCGTAATATTTTGATCCACCACATTTGAAAGAGTAATATTAATCATTCTTTTCATCTAAATAAGCTTTGTGAAGATAATGAAAGTGCAAAAAATTAGTAAACATATTATCATCATCATATAAATCGGCGTTCCAATCTTATCATAATTGTTCCAATCTTTATCGTCACATATAGTATGTAGTATAATTAAATATGAGTCTGTGTGGTGACTCTGTTTTTCGGCTTATCAGACTTATCAACAATCTTTTTAATCAAACACGTTATTTTTGATTTCACATGTTGAATTGTGTAATAATAATAAAAAGTAAGGTTGTAGTTACTTTTCTAGCTACATTGGTTGAAATTACTTTTGTTGAGTATAATGTTTTGTTGATGACTTTCTCACTAACCTTGCAGGTGAAACAAAAGACATAACTATCCAATATTTCAATGGATATTATGTGCACAACGTACTTATCTGAATATTTAATGTACTTTCCATATGTGGCTACATGACCTACATGATTACTACTTAATATGCATTCTATATGAGGTCATTCTTTAAATATGCCATTTACTTAATCAAGATCACTCTTTTTATGCAAGGATCTTCTTGTAAATTTCCATGCATGATTATTGGCTATTCATGGTTGTTCAATATAACTTAATATTTTTGAAAAGGGTCCTCGCATCACTACTAGAAAACTGATTTGTAGTGACACTAAATAAGTGTCACAGAAAGTTTTACTGACACTAGAAAAGTGTCATAGAAGGTTGGGAATTTTGACACTAAATTTTGTGTCACTGGTAAAGTGTCACTAATTTATGACACTGATGTATCATAAAAATATATGATAAAATAATATCACTTTACATTTTGACACGTTAGTATCAATTAAATTTATGATAGATTGGTATCACATAATGTTGATTATATGTAAATGTTTTATATATAACTATATATACACATGAAATATAAGAGTATTACTTGAAAAATAAAAATGACAATGTATGCAAAATCAAAAGGCGCTTCTTTATTGAAAAAAAGAATTATCATTTATAATTCAAGTGTCATACACATTCCACCACAAACTCAACTAAATCTATAATTAACTAATTTGAGATCCTCTCATTTCTTTAAGCTCCACATATGACAAAATCAGTTGATCTTCAACATGACCTGCTTCCTGCTTGTTGGTGGCTTTTCAATAACTGAAAAAAATAAAATCAAGATACATAAGATAGGTTAGATAGCTACCATGAAAAGCATCCTAAGTGAGGTAAAGTCAGATTTCATTCAGTTATAATAAAATAAATTATATTTTGATGACAATGAAAGTATAAAGAAAAAGAAGGATACATTACCTTCCCTGCATAGGTTCGGACCATATTTTCAATATCTTCAACAATACTTTCAGGTTGCCCGTCTGAAATGCATAAGTTTGTTTAGATTTGAAAACAGTTGGAACTCAAAACGAGAACTCCTAAGTAAACAAAGGACACAAAGCAACATACACCCGCATATACACACACGTAGTCATTCATATACATCATACAATATGAATTTCAAACCTCATTGTCATTTACCTCCAAAGCTCCTGTACCGCTTTTTCCCTTCTGCTAATTAGAAATACATCTTCTAGTCCTCACTATGTAGATAGGTTATAAACTTCAAAAAATCCAGATTAAGATTCACAATGTCCTGATTTTTAGGTTAAAAACTAAGAATTAAATTTAAAGTAGGTAAAGATAGAGGTTACTAGCTAGAGATTTATTATCAAGATTCATTACAATGAAAACCAGTTCAAATATTTCACACAGACCACAGCCAACTTGAAGGATCATGAAGATATGCAGAAAAAAGAAACTTTGAGAAATGTATCATAACCCACTTCCAGTCCTAGAATCCAGAGATCCAAAAAATGGAAAGCTGGTGCACTAGAACAAAGGAGATCTAAGCAAGGGCTCTGCTGATTTTTTTGAATTAAAATTAACCCATATTTTAGCTATAAAAACTACATAATACCTCTTTTCCATGATTGCAAATCTGCAAAGCACCCATTGCAAAGGACATTGCAGAGCTTAAAGATAGGCAACAAAGATAGCCAAGCTGCCGAGAGGAAATTATTTGTCCTCTTTCTCCTTACTAGTGGTGTTCTTCTTTCCCCAATCTGACCTTTGCATAATTCAATTTCAGCAGCATCTCTTAGCCAAATCAGCTCCCAAAAAGGAAGTATTTCATGTTAAGTTGCTACCTTAGTTTTGATAGTTCACTCCTAAATAAGTTTCTACATTGATTCCATTGGAATAGCTAAAAACAGGCCTGCACTTTTCACATTGCGGGTGTGATTAAAAAACTAGCAAGAGACCAGTAAACTTATGCGCACATGTTTTAGTATAGAAAATTCACATTAAATAGATTAGCCAGAAGGGAATACCTGAAAGGATAATATTGCCAACAAAATGAAATGTTTCTGCATAACAAATTAAGCAGCGTGAAAATGCTCAAAAAAACCAGAACATTATTAAAGGAATTACATATTATTATTCATTGAGTAGTATAATAAACTTACAGGTACTGCCTAGAAAGGTACATCCTTGTCAAATCACAATTCACCGGCCAAAGCAACATCAAGAAAAGTTTAAGGTATCCACAAAGCTGGTGTCTCCCTTCAAAATCATAAGGCTAAGTGCCTAAGTGATCAAATAAAAACCTATTACGATTCAAAAATATGGCCCAACTCTGGTATCTCAAAAATATCTCACCTACTATTTATGTGAGTCATCTACTGTTTCAATTTTGGATGCACATCTAGACATCAACAATTAAAGAGAACAAAATTATTTACTTAACTAAGAATGTCGGATTATTTACTTGATCAGAAATATACACAAGTGACCATAAATTTGTAAAACTCACCCACAACCATTAACTCAAAACCTATGAAACGAAAAAACATTATACAGATATGAGCTGAAACAAAAACAACAATTTATATGAGCTGAAACAAGAACAACTACTTATACCCCCATCATCATTTCTTAAACATGATAAATTTGCAAGTCATACTGCAGTTTTTAAGCATTATATATTCCAACTCAAAGAAAGTAAAGTAATGATAAAATGTAATGTGATCGAGACTCACTCAAAGAAATTCATCACCTTTGAAAAGTAAAACGTTGCAACCACAAATACCCTCTATAAGGCATGAGGCAACATAGATGTCTATTATAATCTTGAGTGTAGAAGTAGCCTACATATCATGAATGAATGCTAGAAAACAAAACATCACCAATATATCAAAAACTCTGAATATTCTACTAGCTCACATAATCTGGGATTTTGTTAATATATCTGGGATGGAATATTTTCCTTGATGGCATAAGAGTGAACCATTTGTTGCTGAATTATGCCCATGCGTACTGCTTCTCCTTCTTGTCCTGTTTCCTTCATTGTTTTTAAACATATTCATATTCATTAGCAACATATAATTTAGTGGTGAAAAATAAACATACAAATAAGTAAGTAAATGAATAAAAGTTAAAATACTACCAATTGGCAAATGACTCCTAGAAAAGCAATTCCTACCAACGGATCTTCATTTTTTGAGCCATCGCCATATGCTACTCCTAACCAGTACTATATGCTGACTGATGCATACATTCCGACATTTACGGATTCCTCATTTTCCCATGCACGACCGTCGTTTGAGTCTCATCCTCCTTATGCGCACACACCGGTGGATTGGAACACAAGCGGGGTGGACATAGGAGGCTCGAGCACACAACCCGTTGTTCATCAACGCCTGAGAGGACAACGACATTCGGAAGGCAAAAACACGGGAAAAACATGTTATAGAATATGTGTTTCCGAATTTCATGTTCCTAGAAAGGGCTTGAACGTGATCCTCCACTTACCGTGTCACCCCTTATGTCCAAATATATGTTAGTGGGACAGATGTAGTACTAAAATAAAACTTATTTACATAAATATGACTAACAATTACTACAATGTAGTATCATGGTAACTTAAGTTTAAAAATTGAACATAAGTTACTATGATTTCATTTCTCATTTAGTCTCTAATCACATATTTCTAAACAATCTTTATTTTAGTCATAAATATGTAATTATTTCTATTGATATCGAAAACACATTCAATAGATGAAACATTTTTTAATATAATGCTTATTAATTTGGAATTAGTTCAATTTAATTCTTTTACCTCACATATAATGCTTATTAAGATTGAGTTGAAAATATCAGTTTCGTAATACTATGTATATAATACAAAGAAGTATATATTAATACAAAGAGATATATGTTTGAATTAATTTGATAAATTATAAAAATGTGTATGCATTTCTTTTTGGTTATTATAATATATTTGATTAAAAGTATTCCCTTCATTCAAATATTCCTTATCCATTGTTTCATATATATACTTGTCATTATAATTTAATCCCAAAATGAAGTATAATTATAACGATGAAGCCATAAAGGTAACTTGTGAACTTAAAGTTAAATGAAATGGTAAATTTTATATTCCCTCCTTATAAATCAATATATCACTCTTTGCGTATACATATAAATTATAAACAAAGAGCTATTCGATCAAGAGCATTTATATATTGTGCAACTAAACAAAACATGAAATGGGAAGATAATCATATCATGTCTCGTTGTTGTACTATGGGATTGGCACTTTATGCACACAGTACTTGCATGCATACAACTGGAACAATGTATATGTATGTTTTGTGTAACAGCCTTGTGATACACGGTACTCACATTATACTTTTGTTTAACTAAGTCAAGCAATATTTTTATGTAAATGTTGTTATAGAGAAGAAAAAACCTAAATTTATTCGTAATTTAATTTGAAGATGGAGAGAATTAAATTTGTGGTTAGGTTGTTAGTATTTTGATGTAGAAGAAGAAGAAGGAGGTAATTGACGATCACAATGAAAGAGAAGGAAGATTGCAGATAAAGAGATTAAAAATCACAGGAGAAATCACACACAATAGATCTATTGTTGGAAATAAATATAAAAAATGATGTCATAGTGGGGATCAACATGTGATGCGCAATTATTCTATCGATTTAATTGAGAATCATATATAATGCACGTAATATTACATATCAAAATAAACTTATATATATAATGCAAACACATTCAGTGTGTAGATGAAATCAATCTTATAATGCACATGAATAAATATATACCAACATTTATAAAAAAAAGTTAGAACTAGTTAAATTAAATTAGTTCTTGCATAATACTTATCTCCTATGCATCGTCTTGGCTTGAAACATAATTAAAACAAACGAAGAATATATGGTTTTTAGAATTTGATATAACTTTGCATAAATAGTGGTGGAAGATAGTAAAGTTTGGCTAAAAAAAATAGAGAACTTAAAAAAAAGATGGGAAGAATATAAAAAAAGAAATTGAATATATGTCCTCGTTTGAATTTGGATGATATAATCCAAGTGGGAATTGATGTTCAAGTGTTCAAATAATACAATTATATTTGAGGTGCCATGTATCGTGTATGGTTGAAGAGCTTCACTATACCACACAAGACTTCATGTCATCCTTCCCACATAATAGTTCACCATTGAGCTTGTCGACTGCTTGAAACGCTCCTCCACCTTCACTCCTCTGCATCAATTGAATTGAATGTCAACTTCCCAACTTTAATTGAATAGTTTTACTTAAGATTATGTATAGAAAAAAAACTATATATGATATAAATTTAGAAGATGGATTAAAATGCAACCTATATACACAATGTTTATATTAGTCACTTATTGACTATAATTAGATTCATTTTACACTTTAATGATGATATATACTACTAATTGGTATTATCCGTGACATTTTTATAAATATTTTTCCATAATAGCATATGCAATGCAAAAATGTGCACCGTGCATCCATAGAGATATATACAAAAAAGTAATAATGCGATGAAATGTAATTTCTCTCTCTTTCTCCCACGATCTTCTATATTTGTAGTTATTATTTATGAACGATGTCAGTACCATGGCTACATCTATATCTATATATATGTTGTACTTGAAAAATGTAATTCTGAAGAAAAATTACCAAAAACAAAATTTAAATAAGGAGATAGATAATATAATATCTTAGAAAAACTTCTTTCATAAACTCGCATTCTTTCTACTTTTTAATATTCTTTTTATGGCATCACAAAAATGCTCTTACCTTGTAAAAATCAACAGCCAAGAAATTAGCCCAACGATTACCCGCAGCAGCATGACATGTACCCACCATGTCCAATAGATGCCCTGAGTTTTGAACACATGCTATTGGTTCCAAAGGTGCTGATCCGAAGAAGTTTACCAAAATCAGTGATTTAGTAGTGTCAGTCAGAACCGATGACTCAGCCCGGTTCGTGCATTCTCCGTCCTTCATTCCATCATCTCCATCTGCATAACATCTTATTTACTTACATAAAAATGAATTCTGTTTACACCAAATATGCATGAGATTGTCCTAATACTGGTACGATTAGAAATACAATTAGTTCATTCATGTACTAATGGAGGCTGCGTACATCTGAAAACAGTCTCTTTGTGCTTTAGTACAAGGGTAAGACTACGTATATCCGACCCCCCTTAACCCACCGAATGTGGAAGCCTTTGCGGCAATGAGGTAATGATAATGATGATGTACTAATGGAGGCCAGGCTCATGCATACTAGTAATATTTTAAGGAGCTGAGTAGTGTATAGACTCGATCATACATTGGTTTTCGACCATGTAGTTCCATTGGTATGCAATCCCTTCACTTTGTTCCTTAGATTTTACGGAAGTGAAGAGGAGAAGTCTGTGGTTGTTAGCAACCATATCACTAACAAGAGGCCAATCTTCACCGTTTTTGGGCATATTTGATACAGGAAACATGTACTTCATCAATCCAGCATCTGTGAAAATCCTTGTCAATCCATTTGTTGCATGAACGTAATCCTCCAAGATTATCGTAATGATTTCTGATGGATTTGCTGATAAGAAAGCTTCTATTTCCTTCAATGTGTCTAATGCTGGTTCCTTCAATGGAGTATATTTTACCCAACAATTAAGCATTGTACATAACACACTTAGTGGCATTGTACATTAATGATCCATATTCGAGTTAAGAAATTGTCCTAAATAGGAGTAAGAGTATTTATGAATTTAAAACAAAAGTCGACTATGTTTTAATTGCCTCAATAGACATACGGAGTAATTATTTTCTTATTTTGACATTATTTTTTAATCTTGACAATAATTCATCTTATTTAGAAATAAAAATTAACTAGTAATCTTGTATTGAAGTTCCAAAATATTTCTACTCCTATTTCGTGAAATTTCATAAATTGTCTAACACATAATTATCTAAACACATAATTATCTCAAAGTATTCATGATATTTACGGCAGAATTGGGGATAGACATATATATATTTAATTTAAAAATTATTTTCTCTCTCTTTTTTTTAATATGTGTGCGATTTTTAGCTACTTTTTTTTATCAATGTATTTAACACTGTGACAAAGAATAACTAAAAATATCTGTAGAAAAAGAAAAACTAAAAATCAAGAGCGGTTAAATAGGGAGAGAGAGAGTGGGGGAGAGAGATCAACACGCGCTACAAGGTCTCAACGTTTGGTTAGCCCTTGAGGTTAGAATGCTAGATCAACCCAGAGTAATTATTAATGCAAACTTGCATTTTCAAAAATCAATTAGTTACCCTCTAAGTTTTGATCATTTTCACTATATACGCTCTCATGTTAATATTTTTTAGATTAAATTTAATATACCTCTTAAATTCAATGAAAGTTGTATTCAAAATTAATTTTTAAAATATAAAACAATTTATCATCACAATTATAAGTCATTGTTGATGATAATTCGTTTTTCTACTTAACTACTCGATCATGGAGTAACAATTAATGAGAGTAGTTAAGGGGAAGATTCACGAGTCATATTCCATAGATACATAAAAAGAACTGTTTAATTATAAAATGTGTTATCAAATTTTTAGGCACTTCTTCATTATGAATATACAAGTCTTATTTGTAATTCACTCGGTTGAATTAATCGCAATGACATTTCTTTCGTGTGTAGCAAAGAAGCAATACCAAGATTTTTTTATCATTCTATGACCTAAAATATAGGTTTATTATCAATAAGGGATCTAAAAGACAAAATGTGTGATGATTATTCCAATTATTCCTTGATCTGGATAATTGAAAGCTATCAATCTAAGACCTAAAATATCATATATTTTAATTTACTTAAAATTTTTATTAACTACGATCAACAACAATGACTTATAATTATGATACTAATTTGTGTTTTACATTAAAAATTAATTTTATAGACATTTTTCATTGAATTTAAATATTATATTAAATTTAAATTTACCAAATACTAACGTGAGAGGGGCAAAGAACGAGAATGATCCAAACTGAGGGGGTAAGTAATTGATTTTTGAAATGCAAGGTTGCATTAATAATTATGACATAACCTCAGGGGGTTAATAGTAAATTTCCCTTTTTTTTATTATTCCCTATCTTTTCTGTAGTGAGTTCACTTGATTGGAGAAATGTTTTCAATTTAGGATTTTTTTTAATTTGTCTGATTTAGTACAGTATGTTTTTAATTGGCGCACTTTAAAAAAACATTCAAAATTTGCTTGATAAAATGAAAATCAAAATGAAGCACTTATAATTATAAATGAAGGACCAATAAATTTTATAGAGCTTTCAAAATTTTGATACTCTCTCCGGTCCTTAATGAAGTTTACACTTACTTCACACATATTAAGGAAATAAAATTGACTTTACTGTAGAGTACACTATTTGGCACTGTTTGGCACTGTTTGGTGTAGATTTGTTTGTCAAATAAGGCAAATAAGGAAGTGTAAAGTTTAATATGAGACGACTCAAAAAGAAAAGTGTAAAGTTAATTAAGGACCGGAGGGAGTATTATTTTTGTAAATTTCTTTGTTGCGGACTATTTTTGTTAAACACGTCAGATTATGAATTGTTATTGGCAATTAAATTTAGTTAGATTCTATGGTACCCATAAGGTACCATACATTTGTCCACATGGACCAATGAAAACGTAACAGTTGAATTATTTAAATCTAAATTAAAAATGATAAAGTGATATGATCAAATCAAATAAATGATAATTACGATATCCCATTTTTTAGAAAAGTATCGGAGTTGTGACCTTTAGATGAATATACTTACAAAAGCAGTATAGTCGTGGCAGTGTCCTCCGAATGAGTGGCACAACCAAACGTCATTGTGAAAATCGTACACGTCAAGCATTAGCCCACGAACTCCATTCTACATATATATGTAAATCCCACGTCATTAAACAATTATTATAATTAATGAAACTGACTTTACGAAGCTAACAAATTAAATGTGTACTGATTTTTTGGGCTAATTATATTTTCACAATCAATTATTTTGTTTACACCATTTTATTTTAAATAGCAATCACTCGCTCGCAGACAAAAAAATATTAATTGCCCACCAATTGGGTTTATGTAAATAAAAAAAGAGTACATGAAGAAGGATTATTACATTAAGAGGCCGTTTGGCAACCCTCATTTTCGGCTTATCAGGCTTATCAGTCAACTTTTTTACGAAACACGTAAATTTTGCTTTCGCGCGCTGAATTGTGTAATAAGCCGAAAAAGTAAGGTTGGAGTTACTTTTCTGGCTGTAATGGCTAAAGTTACCGTAGATGATCATTTTGGCTATTTTTACATATGATTTTTTCTTTATTTTATTAATAAAATATATTTTACAAATATTTTTTTCTTGTATCAGCAGAATCAGCCAATGCAGCCACTTCAGCCAGAACTTCATAAATTTCAGCAGAATCAGCCAAAACAGCCGATTTTCGTGCTATATATTTATTGAATTACATATATGTCTGGATGGACCATTCTTAATTGGTGTACACATTTTGTGTATACCCCTCAATTGCCTGTGTGCACGGGTTATAAGTAGGGGTCGTGTACACAAAATATGTACTTCCATCCCATAAATTTTTTCCACTTTCCTTTTTGAGTCATCCCAAAAAATTCTTCTCACTTACTATTTTTGGACAATTTATGTAGTTCACATTCATTTCACATTTTTCTTTCACATATACAGCTTATATGTGAGCGGATCAAATATAAAATAAGGAAATTTAGGTTGAGATTTGAATAAAGCGTACACTTAACTGCTGAGCTACTCTATCTACTTGATTTCTTGGAGCAATATTGGGAACACCGGTATGAGATGGCTCGCCAGTTATTGCAAATGCGTTATGGGTAGTCAAGAACGCATATTTGTTGAACGGAAGGGACTTATTCTGCATGTACATAACACATCCAATAATTAATCAATAATCACCATATTATCCTATCTTCATTATTACGTGGTACTACCTAATTACTTACTTTTTTGACCTTATTGATTAAAATTAATGTTTTCTAATTTTTACAAAAAAAAAAGTTCCTACGTAGGTATTTCAAAATTTATTTTATTTAAAATTATTTACTTAAAAACTAATTAGTTTATACGTAGTATGAGTTTTCTTAAATTATGATCAGAAGTGACTGCATTTATTTAAAGACAAAAAAGACTAACACGGTAATAAAATGAAAAAATGTGTTCAGGCTTAAGCTTCTCAATTTTCTCTTTTGGATCGGACGTCCTAGCTATATGTTCATATTTCACTTTTGAAGGTATTTTTGGTCAATTTTTTAAAGAGAGATTTGTCACATTTTTATCATGACAAAAAGTTGAAGTCATATATTCATGTTTTGTAGTTTATATACTACGTATATTATTACTCGTAGGTCGTTCTTACAAGTAGCTTGAACTGATCTGTAGCGGTGGATCTAACACATTTGGAGCCTGAAAACCCTAAAGGACATGCCAAACAATACTTCCCTGCCCCACAATCTCCATCAGACGAACAGTCCTGAAACCCCACGAAAGCCATTCCAGAAATTAATCAAACAAACAATTTGCTAATTAATTAATTATTCTGCAAATAAATAATTAAAAGAAATCTAATACAAGTATATATATATCAAATACGGATCATATGTAAATATAAATAAATACCTGAGATATTGCGTTCTTGACGGATAACACAGAAAAGATGAGCATTAAATCAATAATTTTGTAAAACCCCATCATTAATTATGCATGAAAATGAAAATTAAGGATAAGAGGATAGGGTTTTATAATTTGATCGGCAATTAAACAAGCAAAGGAGCAGTACGTATTTATAGGGAGGGTCTTATTATGTAGATAACAGTTGAGGAAACAAAATGGAATGTGCAGTTGGAAGATGGAAGTGCTTGTGTGGCACAGAATGACAAGAATGTGGCTGAGACTTTTGCGGGGTGGTATATGTTTCTTAAGACGGCCTACCTATTTATATGTCTCTTTTCAATATTTCCTTATTTTGGAGAACGTTTGTTAAGCAGGTTTGTTTAAGTCTGATCTCGTTTGATCTAAATCGGTCTTGTCTGTTCTGGTAAACGTCTGGTCTCTGTGTATTTTATGGTGGTATTTGTTTTATAGCGTTTTGTATCCAAGCGCGGTTCATATCAACGTTTACAACTTTCAGAAAACAGCATTTTCACTCAAAACGCCAAGTACCAAACGAACCCTATAATTGTCCAAGTCTGATCTGGCCTGTTTAAGTCTGGTCTAGTTTGGTCTGTGTATGTTTGGTATTGTTTGATCTGGGACTGAAAACAGTTCAAGAGAAACATCATTAGATCAGCTGGTTAGGTTAGACATGCATAGACAATAACAAAATACAAAGTATATGTAAAACTTTTACGTGATCAGATCAGACCAGCTCATAATAAACTCAAACAAATCATATCAGATAACAAAAAATAAATCGGAAAATTTATGTCCAATTAAAAGCATTTTAGATTTCCCTATTATAGTTGGATTAGTTGGTCTACCAATTGATATGATCCATGGTGACAAGAACCGATGGGATACATTGGAACTACCGTATAATTTGTCTTCTTATTTATCATTATTAATGATCAAAAGAGAGCACATAACTAATAAAAATTGAAATCAAATCAATATATACATTGATTTGTGAATTTATATATATATATATATATATATATATATATATATATATATATATATATATATATATCAGTTTTGTAACATGAGGTTGTGGATGTTTAACCGTGACTATTTTTTTTTAAACGTTCCGTGACTTAACCTGGATTAGGACCGTGACTAACTAGTCACGGACCAAATCCGTGACTACAAGCGAATTTTTTTGTAGTGTCCACATTCAAAACTAAAAATGACGTCGTTATGAATTTGATCCAGTCTACCATTGACGTGCATGTAAATTAGAAATGATGTCGTTTGCGTCAACAACATTCAAGATTAACTCATACGATATTGTTTTAGGTACTGTACTGATGGCACCTAAATGGCTACATATCTTAAATCTTAAATTCAAAAATGTGAAATTAAAAACCTACAAGACAAATTAGGAAATAAACAAAAAATATATATGATTAATTTTATTTCTAATTACGACATGTGCGTGAAATAAAACGTAATTAATTAATACTCCGTTATAACGTCAATATATACTATGTTTGGGTCGTTTGATAAGCAAATTAAATTAAGGCGTATAGAGTTAGATTTTTCGCAAATGGAGATTAAAATTTTGACTTTATATGGTAAATTTGATTTGGCTTTAATTGTGAGAATAATGGAACATGATGCCCTCTAAGAAGTCCTGGCAGATATATATTTATAATAAGAGAGTTTAGTGTCAAGTACAATACTAATGGTATAATAATTCTATTAGCCTCTGTGGATGACTTCAAGACAGTGGGCTGCTTCTTGGATTTCCAAGAAATTAAATTAGGACCCAAAAAGATAGCAAAGCCAGTAGTGGAGCGTGATGCACACTAATTAGTAGTGCATCATTATATGTTTTTATGTTTGATTTATGTTGATTGTTTGACGTTTTATTTAGTTTGTAAACATTTATGTGATTTCAGTTGTAATTGTATTTTAGTCTTTTTTTATAAGTTGTAAAGTATAGTTAGGATTTGTGGTGTTGGAAAGGAAGACTTTGGAGAGAAGAAAACAAGAAATTTGACTGCCCAGGAGTAAAACCCGAACGGGTAGAAACCCCCACCCGGTCGGGTATGATTTAACAGACGAAATTGCCAAGGAAGTCACTGGACCCGGTCGGGTCCCCTACTTGACCCGGTCGGGTCAGATGTGACCCGGGACAAAACGACGTGCGAAGATCACCAGAACATGGCGGATTATCTGATTTTGACCGGACCCGGTCGGGTAAGTACTTGACCTGGACGGGTACCCGGCCAAAGGTGTTGAAAAACACCTATAAATAGCACACTTTTTCTTCTCTAAAAATCATCCCTTCTTCTATACTCCTAAGCTCAGTTTAGAATAGCATTTCTTTCTATTTTTCTAGCTATGTTTAGTCTTCAAATGAGGAGCTAAACTTCCATTCTTGGTGTTGCTCTTGAAGCTTGTTGATTATTAAAGTTGTGAGTTATTTTCTTAACTTCTTTCCTTGAATATTAATTAATAGTTCTTTCCTTAATACTATCTCTATATTAATGTTGGGGAGTGTTGCTAAGATGACAATTAGTTAACATCTCGGCATTAGTTAGAATAGTATTTTCTTCCTCTATATTAATGTTGGGGAGTGTTACTAAGATGACAATTAGTTAACATCTTGATATTAATTATAGTAGGATTCATCTTCTTTAATAATATTCTTCCTTGAATATTAATTAATTCCTATTCATATTTCATATTAATATTTTGAACATTACTTAAAGGATCAACTAGTTTTGTTTCAGATATTAATTATTACTAGAAACGATCAATGAACCGATGGTTAATCGTTGATGGTTTCACAAGTAAGTAAGTTTGGTTTATTAATGCACGGTCGTGGTTAATAAACTTAAGAGGGATTAATTTTGTTGGTTAAACCGAAACCATTGTGTTGAGGTTATCAATCTCAATTGATTTCATCAAGGAGTTAGAAAGATTAAATGCTACTATTAAATCGGTATAAGGCGTTGTTCTATATTTGATTAATAGTAAGGGTTATTAATGAACGGTTGTTGTTAATAACTACCCTCGATGAAGTAGATATACTCCCCGATTGAGTATTCAAGATGGAATAAGTTATAGATATAACAATGATCGACTAAAATATATCAACAAGTGGAAAGTAGCAATGCCAAGTCCTTTTTATCTTTGAATTAAATCTCATATATATAGGTCGTTCATCTTAGTTTTTAATTTAATCAAATCATTCATCACCAAAACCCCCCTTTATTTACTAAGTTTCATAAAAAGAGAATTATTCCTTTCCCTGTGGATACGAACTCTACTACGCTATACTACGTATAAGTGATAGTATTGAATTTATTTTGACGCACCGTGACAAAGTGCATCGTCAGAGCGTGAGCTATCGGGACATCCAGCCCAGTGTGCATCGGAATAGGCAACAACACACGTGGGTCGATTAGAACGCTGTAGCCACAACCCATGATCACGTGTCCCCTGCAAATACCTGAAAATTCTTTTGACCGCGAGTAGATGAGTAGTACGGGGGGCATGCATGAACTGAGAGACTAAGTGTACTGCATAAGTAATATCTGGCCTTGTCAAAGTTAAATATTGTAAAGCACCTACCATGTTGCAATACTCAGTAGAGTCTGCAAGTAACTCACCATCCGCTCTACCCGCTCTTTAGGTCTGCCACCTTCGACTTTTGTTCATCCCAGACGCCTGTGTTGTAACCATGCCGCCGACGGAGGGACACGGACCGCTGGCCTTCCTGACGAAACTCTCCTATGCGGCGGCGGTAAGGGATCCAGTTCCCGTCCAACGCCTGCACTCTTAGCATTGCTCCTTCTCTGATGCTATTAACCTGGTCTTCCCCTCCAAATCGACCGGACCTGTGAACGGATTCCCAGCGGTCTCTTTTTCCCATTGGTATTTTCTCTAATGGGCGTCCCTCTCTCCGTGCTATTCGTAAAGCTTTTGACGCTTTAGGGTTCTCCCAACCCTACTCTATCAGACTCCTACAATCGAACATTTTTTTGATTAATTTCATATCTGTTATTGATTTTCAGAGATTTCTTGTTTTGATAATTTACTGGTTTCACCCAGTAATGCTCCAGTGGAGAACATTATTGTATGAATTAGTTGGTTCATTCTAAGTGTAATAAACTGTTAAATTAGAGAGATTATTAATTAAGTAACGAATTATGTCAATTTCATTTAATTTAGTGAAAAATTAGTAAGTTAAACGTAGGTTTAATCGTAGTGACGCATTAACTTAAATTAATTAGCTAAATTAGTTAAATTTTTGTTAATAGTAGTTACATTTAAATTAAATGCATTTAAAAAAGGTTGTTAATTAATTAACGAAATAAATTAGTTAAAATTAGTTAAACGTAGGTGTAATTTAAACATAGGGTTAATTAAGTTGTATTTAATTAAGATTACGTAAATTAGTTAAATTATAGATGATATTAGTTAAATGTAAGTATTATTTAATTCAAATGAGTTTATATATGCTTAAATATAATTATAGGATTTCTTTATTAGCAATTATTGTTAATGGCTAATTTAGGATTTATAATGATTTAAATTAGGGTTAGTTAATTGAAACATTACTTAAGTTCATGTGATGAATTATTATTGTGAATTACGTAAATTAGTTAATTTTTTTATAATATTAGTTAAATTTAAGTATTATTTAATTCAAATGAGTTTATATATATATGCTCAAATTATTGGATTTGCTCATATTATTTAATTTAGTGAATTGTTAAATGTGTATTATTAATAAGATTAAGATGTTGATAATTTTAGTATTGCGGATTAAATGCCATTAACGTATTGTTTCTAGTTTAATAATATTAATTGGATGTTAGTTAATTTTAGGAAATTTTTGTGAAATTTAATATATAAATGTTCCTACACATAAAAAATTATTGTTAATGTTTATGAATTAATTAATTCCATTAACGTAATAATTTAGTGTATTTAGTGTTGAAATCATAATATTGGTTATTAGTTAATAATTGAAATGATTAATGACATTATATGAACATATTAGTTCTAGTGAATTTGTAACACCGCCCCCGAGTATTTGTAGTGTACCAAACTATGTATTGAACCCTGGGAAATGAATAAAAGCATTTTTACGTAATTGTAAATTTTTATCATTTCTTTTACGTGAATAGTAAAATTCACGTGGGGCCGACACTGGAAGTGGGGCCGCCCGATATTACCGGGACCACATATTATATTAATCTTGGACTAGATAAT